GTTTCATTTACTGTGTTATACATGAGCATGATTCCTTATACAGTATATTTACGGTTCTGTGCAGTGTTTAATTAATTGCTTTAGCTCGCGAGGTGATAGGATGCGTTTTCCGGTCGCGGCTGATCCAGTGCCCTTTCTCGAGAATTCTCACCAATTTATGTGCGATAAGTATCTACTTTCCTCGCACAAGTCAGAAACAAGTTGAACGCACAATTTTTTAGTGATCAATTGTTTCACGCACACGTCTGAGCTCTTTTCATCAAACAATTGCAGATTTATTCAAATGGCGATTGTGGCACTTTCTTCTGTAAACTCCACAATTTCAAAAACTTTCTACTAGCTGTCCAGTGATTTTGCGACATCAATGAAAGCGACATGAAAGATACTTCTCGATGATCTCGTAACGTTTTTAGAAGCTTTTAATCCTGAGACTTCGGAGGAAATCGAGAAAAATTTACTCCGGAATAATGGATTGATGAGTGAGAATGTGGGTCTGCGCAGTTTGCTGATTCGTGTTTTTTTTATCATCCTTAATATCGAAATATGCTGGCAGAAAGAGAAAGGTGAGAAATGGTGCCAAAAATGATCCTTTTCAATGACCTGATGATCTATTCTGTTCTATTTCGGTTGAAGTACAGTACCATGTGATTAATCAGTTGGAGTGCCGACATCAAAAATCCGCCTTTTTCCTCGAGATATTATAAAAATTTTACAGTACGCGGTTTCTATCTTTTGTGAAAAAGCCAGTGTAACAAGTTATTCTCTTCAAAAATATTTCGAGAAGGTTCGCTAATTTTGATCCATCGTAGAACCCGGTGAGTTTTTCTGACGAGCATTTCTCCCTCTGATTATGTGAAAAATTTGAGTATGCAATACCGGTATATTATTCCAACTTTTGCAACACTTCTATTGAATTACTGTTGTATGTTGAGGAGCGGAACCGGATGAACGAAGCCGAAACTTCTTGAATGCGGTAGTTCCGACAATGCGTTTTGTTCCAGCTAAAGTTCAGTAACTCGCTCACGTAAGATGAGGTGGGAAACCGTGGTCGGAACTTTGTTTCCTCGGCAGATTAGGGTTTCAATGTGTAGCAAGGAAAAT